GGCCGACTAAATGGTTTGAGCCCTGGACCGGTGGTTTGAAAAACACGCCGTGCTCATGTGCGTGCATGCCCAGGGTCCCAGTGGGAGAATGGAGGGGAAGGGACTGTGGCATGAACATCCTCCGTGGGTGAGTTCTCATTTCTGTCTTAGCTCTCAGTCAGTGCAGAGCCCCACGGCCAAAGGTCAAACAAGCAAACGAACAGCAGCAGCTGCATCCGAGGTGTTGGTGGGAGGGAAGGAGCACGTGCCTCGAAGGGCCCCAGGTCCTCAGATTGGGTGACAGGTGGAAGGAGATGGGGCTGCGAGGCAGCAGGCCTGGAGAGAAGGAGAAGGCCGCGGCCCAGGAGCACGAGCGAGGAGCAAGGCCCCAGAGCCCGCCCCCGGTGGTGATGGCAGTCTTGGACTTCCTGAGTTTGTGGCTTATCGGTTCCTCGTCTGCCCTTTCAGTACTGTAGGAGGCTCTGCCCGTGAGCGCTGGGACCCCCATGTCTAGCCCTGGCCTGGGCTCCCACTCCGCTAGCGGGCACTTAGCGTGTACCGCCGGGGCACAGGCTTGTCTGCAGTGCAGCCTCCTCGTCTCCGCAGGGCTTTCCTGGACCTCTGGGCTTCACCAGGGTCTTGTGGGGAGAAGAGTGAGGCTTGGATTACTTGGGAGGACGTGAGCACCCCACCACTCGCAGGGGTGCAGGATGAGGCTGCCGGTGGCACTGCAGATCCCGTCGTTGGCTAAGGTCGGACCAGAGGGTCTTTGGGGTCTCTTCTAATACGTAGCTCTCAAACTAGGTTAGGGACTTGGGAAACAAGATTCCGCCGAGCGCCTGGTTTCTGGGCGTGAAAGCCTGAAAGCCCAGCCGATCCAACCCCTTCTGGCCCTTCTGCCCACTGCAGGAACGCTTCCTGTCTGACGGAGGCGCCTGGCACAGGCACGTGCTGGCACTCTGTCACCGAGAGCAGACAAGCGGGCAGTGAGGCAGGGACGTGCAGGCTGTCCGCTCCCACCTCCCCGGCCGGGCTGCAGGACAGGTCTCGTTAAAGTCTGCACTTAACAGCCGTCTGTGGCTGGGAGGGATGGGCTGCCTCAGGGTCAGGGAGGGCCGGGGGGGG